AAAATAAATTTAAAAGACCGTTTTTATTTTTTCACATGTTCTAAGAGGAACAATATGTGAACGGCCTGGATATGTCCAGAATATGTTCTCTTAACGATTTGCCATTCCTGGGGAAAGTGAAAACGGATGTAAAAGTACCATGGGCTGAAGCTGGTGCTGAAGCAGTGCTTAAAATTTCCTGGCAAACTTGGGCATCCCAGTTTCCGGTTCCTGAGTACATCCCGTTCCTCCTGTGGATATTTCCTCCCATCTCCCGTATTTTACTGAGATGCTGCAGTTCTCTTATTGCCTAATGCTGCTGGCATGGACCTCTGCGTTCGCAATAGCGGGATGGTAGCAGGAGGTGCCACTGCCAAGTAGGACAAGGCCAGGCTGAGGAGAAGGATGTAGTCCCAGCCTCCAGCCAGGGACTCCAGTGCTCGCCCCAAGGCCGAACTGATGTCCTCACTGGTGTCAGCAGGAGAGCTGGGTGCCAAGTTTCACAACTGGAGGTGTTTGGGTGCTAGTGGATTAGCCTTGTAGCAAGGATGAGAAGAGGGAAACACAGATAGGGAAAATTTAAGGAGATTATTCAAGGCACATGTAGAAAACTACTGGGAGAGCCCAGTTGCTTGAATGCACAGTTTTCCCTAATTATTACTATCCCCTGATATCTTTGTTGATATTAATATGTGCTGGAATTTGGAGAGAACCATTCAAAGTGGTTAAAACTTACATTTTAGAGCTGTGAGGGAGGATTTTCTTCTGCAGACCACATAAGGTAGGAAAACCAAATAGTCATAATCTCAGAAGAGACTCCCGCTAAGCTCAGAATATCCCTCAGAAATGCTTAGCTATGAGGGGACATTTTCAGTGTATCTGTGCAGCTGCACTTAAGCCCAGCTAAAGGGCTGGACCTGTTTGCCCAGCAGTGAGATCAGTGATGGTGCTGGTTTGGTCCTGGTGAGACTCATGCTGTCTCAGAGGCAGGGCAGGGACTTCACTTTCAACTTCCTGAGCTGACAGGGTCTTAAACAAGAACTGTAATTTCACTTTGATGTCATTTATTATGCTTTAATAGTCCTTTTTATTTATTTATTTACTTTTACAATCATGTAAAATATATAAAGAAACTTAATCTTGTTAGGGAGGTGCATGAGAATTTGCTGGATAGACCTTAATGGCTCCTTTATGCTGCTATAAAACACAGGCAAGAGATATTAGCAGTTTTAGCTGGACTAGCAACGTCAAATATTATATAAATTTATTTGATATTTTCAAGGATTTATTGCTGTAAGTATTTACTTTCCCCATTGTTTAACTAGGCTGTGTGTTTCTCAAGACAACTGTGGTAAAAATCTGTGCAAGGAATTAAGGAGAATTGAAAAGCAGGGAAGAATGAGCCAAATTTGCTTTTGGATACATAACAGAAATCCAGAGTAACTCTACCCATATTGACATAGTTACACTGTAGTAAATCTTGAACAGTTGAAGGAAAAATATGGCTATGAAGGAGTTGTTTTTTTCCTCTCCTCTCCTCTCCTCTCCTCTCCTCTCCTCTCCTCTCCTCTCCCCTATTTACCATAAAGTAATCTGGAATAATACAATTAAAGATTGTAAATTTTTATACCCTTCCATATAAACCAAAGTGTCTGCCCCCATGCTAATGAGAGTTCTCCATCTTACCTTAAACATATTAGCTATCTAATACCTTCTTGCTCTATGTTGGAGATTTGGGCAGAGAGTTGGGCAGAGAGGAACCTCATGAGGTTCAATAAGGACAAGTGCAGGGTTCTGCACTTGGGGAGGAATAACCCCAGGCATCAGTACAGATTAGGGGTGGACCTGCTGGAAAGCACCTCCACGGAGAGGGACCTGGGAGTCCTGGTTGACACCAAGTTAACCATGAGTGAGCAGTGTGCCCTCGTGGCCAAGAAGGTCAATGGGATCCTGGCTGCATCAGGAGGAGCGTTGCCAGGAGGTCAAGGGAGGTGATTCTGCCCCTCTACTCAGCTCTGGTGAGGCTGCACCTGGAGTACTGTGTGCAGTTCTGGGCACCCCAGTATAGGAGGGACGTGGAGCTTCTGGAGAGGGTCCAGAGAAGGGCAACCAGGATGATTAAGGGAATGGAACATCTCTCGTATGAAGAGAGGCTGAGTGAGCTGGGCCTGTTTTCTCTGGAGAAGAGACGGCTCAGAGGGGATATGATTAATATGTACAAGTTCAGGAAGGGAGAATGCAGGGAAGAAGGGGACAAGCTGTTTTCACTGGTGGCCAGCGATAGGACGAGGGGTAATGGCCACAAGCTGAAGCATAAGAAGTTCCATCTCCAGGTGAGGAGGAACTTCTTTACTGTTAGGGTGACAGAGCAGTGGAACAGGCTGCCCAGGGAGGTTGTGGAGTCTCCTACTCTGGAGGTCTTCAAAACCCGCCTGGATGCCACCCTGTGCCACGTGCTCTAGGTGTGCCTGCTTGAGCAGGAAGGCTGGACTAGATGATCTGTAGAGGTCCCTTCCAACCTTAAATATTCTGTGAATCTGAATCTGTGGAGATAAGCAGTCAACCAGTGTTTAGCATATGATTATGGAGTCAGATACCATGTTACTGTAAATCTGAATAGCTCCAGTGAAATCTGTGTGAATTAATTTAGCTTATATTTTCAGCCCATTTACCCCACAAATTTTGAAAGGGTCTGTGTCTACTGGCCTTTAATATTTCGTATTGTTCAGGTAGGCAGCTTCTAACACGTGCAGTAAAGAATTTTAGACCACAAAGTCATTTTTAAAATCATCATAAACCAATAAGGTTTTATCACTAAGGTAAAGCATAGTGCCACTCAAACAGTGGTGAGATTCAGTTTGGCCAGATATAACCCCAAGTGAGAAATTTCTGAATCCTTTGAGTAATGATCAAATCTTTAGTCATTTTTAAAACATGTAGAGTCAATGTAAAAAACATGGCGTGTTAAAGAGTTTAAGAAAGGGTCGATTTCAATTTCATTCATTTTTAATGTTATGTGAATTTATAGTAGTTGTTCATTTTTACTCTCCAAGGTACTGAGTTCATAACACCCGTCCATAATGTTTCTTTCATTAAAAAGCAAAGAATAACAGTACTAAGAACAATATATAAACACACAGTATAATTTTGATGATTTATTCCACATATTTGTTCAATGCTCTACCATGGTGGCATGGGAAGGCAACCTCTGCATGTGGGTCATAGATGTATACTCATATTTACACATTTGTAGGAGAAAGAATATATATGCATCAGATTTTGTGTGGGTTTYTTTTGTGTGTGTGAAGAAAAGTCAAAGTGGAAAGAATGGAGAGAGATCCCATGTAACATCCATCTCTATTTYTTACAATTTCCTGCTGGATTTTCTTAACTATCTCTGTTTTCTCTTCTGTCTTGGTGGGAAGGATAGCTTGAATAGTCAGTACTAAGACAAGGGCAGGGGATGACTCTGCTCTCGGGACTGTTTTTCTTAATACATTGCCAATCTCTGCTGTGCAAATAAACCTTCAAGTTGAAAGGACGATGTCATTTCAGCAGAGTGACGCATCATTTTATGTGTATTGGCYGCTCTTTGCTTTTCCCATTGGCACCTCCTTTCTAGCAGAGCCATTATTTTGTCCTGGAATTTGCTGCTTTCGTTATCAAGCAAGTTAGAGATGGTCAGGATGCCAGTCAGGGACATTTCTGGGAAAACTCCCAGATGTCCAAAGATGTTTTTCCAGGCGACCTGATCCTCTCTGAGAGCAGGCGGAAGGGCTGCTTGGTATAAGACCTGCCAAAAGGATGCCTTGAATCTGGGCTAATAAATTCTTCTGTTGGCAAGTGATGGAACTGGAGCACTTTTACTGTTGCCCTCTCCCGCTGCTGTAATTGCCATTTGCAATTTTCATTTGCAGAAAAGAGGCAAAATTGTTGTTAATAATAGTATTTTGTRGAAAGTCTTCTATTATTTTATTTATTTTTATACATGATAAACATTGCACAATACCAAAAGACCAGAGAAAAGTTTCTTTAGCTTTTAATATAAACTTTATGGGAAATGGCTATTTTATGTCGATGTACTTATTCTTCTCCAGTTTGCTGTCAATTTTTTTGTAACATTTGTCAGTATACTGGTGCTTCATAAGAATAAAAATATTTGTTTTCTTTGTTCAACCTGATTAAGATAAAAAAAATTAATTGAACAGAAAAAGTGTGCTCTAACTGTCCGGTTAGGCTTGTTTTCTTTTTAATAAAATTAAACATTAACAATGGCATTTTTGTTAACAGACTATAGATAATATTTTAACTAGGGACTGTTTGTGTTACTATTATATTTTTAATTGCTGAGAACATGAATTATTGATGTTGAATAATTTATTTAGGTAAAAAAATACAATGTCTAAGTCTTGCAAAGCTTCTGTTCTAGGTGATATGAGTAGTTGCCTTARACTTAAGAGTGTATGTACACATCTTTGTAAAACTGTTCCCTAAGCATATAGAGCAGACTTGAGACACCACACATATTATTGTTAGAAATAGTATGTCAATGTTTTATTTTTCATCAACTAGTTCCATCTGGCCCATTATTTTTTCTAATTGTTCCTTAATTGCATACAAGCCAGCAGTTGCTCCATTTCTCTTCATTATTCACTCTGACATTTTTCTATAAATGGGTTTTGTCTTACAAACATAGCAATAAACTTAATTATAGAGATGAAGCGTGTCTGAAGCCAAAAAAAAAGCAGGAAGATTATTTGGGTAATATTTTCTTCAAGGGTGGATACTTGATTAAATTTCAGCCAAAGATATTTAAATTGGATCCTCARTCAAGGTGTTTATTAAATGCCTAGTGATAAACAAGCTCATAAACAGCATRAAATGATCACACCTTTAAAATGTGCTCCTTCTGCCATGCATCCCCAGTGCAGAAATGCTTCCATTACTCATGATGACTGCTTGATTTAACTTTGTGGTTAATGTTATTTTGTTTTTATTTTTATTCCCCCATTTCTTCACAGAGAGAATGTGCTAATTTCATCAAGGTGCTTAARGCTTATAACCAAACACACTTGTATGCCTGTGGAACGGGGGCCTTCCATCCAGTGTGCGCCTATATTGAAGTTGGAAGCCATCCTGAGGTAAAATATCTTAAAACCTTTATTTTCCTTTTTCGTCTTTGTGATCATTCTYGATATGTAGCCAAGATTTCTGTTCACCCAAATTGCCCCAAGTTCTGGGGCTTGGCAGTGGATCGTGTAGGACGTGCTCCTGAAGCTGCTGCTTATGGGCTGCCCAACTATTCATACAGCATCCATATGTTGCCCTCTTAATGCAAAAAAGTCCATCTTGGTTTGTGAAGTTATGTGCACCCAAAAATCAGTGTCACCAGCTGAAAGCACTGTGAGTATACTGATTTTCCTGACTGAAGTTTTTATTAGAATGGCTCTTCTGTCTTGTCACTGACCTGCAGTATAATCATTCCTCAAAAAACAATTTTTTAATTTGGTATTAAAACAGGTACATGGTATAAGTGCTTTCACTCAGGTTACCTGAACATTGTTCCATGGACTGTTTCAATTATCAGCCAGATTTTTAATGTGTTTGCAGCAGTCACATTTAATTTATGAATATGCTTTATTGATGAATCCAAAACTGTGTTGCTTGTGGCTTCTGAGGAGCAGCTATTTCAAGTCACTTTATGGTTTTGCAGGTCAAGTTTTCAGATTTCCCTGGAAATGAGGACATGTAACTGAATGAGAGCTCACTCAGTCATTTAAAAATCAGATTTCCTTCTTGTAAATTAATGAACTTTTGAATGTTCACTCTGTATAGTTTTAGTCTGGAAATCATTTTTCGCTATAAAAATGTCTTCTGATATTTGAAACATGAGTCTTCATAGTGTTCTAAGCATGAGGTTTTGAAAGGATAAAGAAGCAGCAGAGTAGGAGGGATTTTTTTTCTTGTTTTTCTTTTTTTTTTTTTTTTTTTTCTTTAATGCTTTATTACAGAACGCATTTTTGGCAATTAGCGATTGTCTCTTGACCACATACAGTATGTCATTGCTTGCTGCATTAAACAGATTCTCTGCTTCCTGAGATCCATTTGGGAATTGGTAGGCATATTAATTAACTCGCATTCTGTAAGATATGTGTCAATCAATTCTTGGCTCTCTGCCAAGTGAATCTATCTGCAAAGAGATAGCTTGTATGAGGTCATTTACTTTTACATTTGGCTGTTTTATGAGTGTACCGTAAAACTAACACACACTTTATCAAGGATTTATAGCAAGGATGTCCAGAGAATAGAGGCCAGATCCAACCTTGGTTTAACATTTGGGATTTTGAAAGACTGGTGTCAATGCTGTCTTTGTCCTTGGCACTGAAAAAGAATATTTGGGTCATCTTCCTTTTAGCAGTCTGTAACTATCAAGAGAATCTAAGTCCTTGTTCTCTTAAACATTTGTGCACTGAGTTTGTTGCTGCCCATGTGCCCAAATCTTTCTCATGACTTTGGCTTCGACTTCACAAACCAGAGCAGTGAGAAGGGTTTTCATCTGAACTACCTCAGGCCTTGTTGCACTTTTATCTCCTCTTCATACTTAAACCAGGAGAGAAAACAGCCTCCCCTGCCCTTTCAGTGGCAGCAACCTCTGTATCTTTTGCAACATCTCAGATGGTCTCTCCATCTTCTCAGTCCAGCCCCTGTGGAGAGAAGATGGGCCAGGCAGGAGGCAACTCTATCTTCCACCACTTATTTTCCCAAAGCTGCCTGGCAAGCCAGGCTGCCATCCCTTGTAAGAGGAACAGTGAAAGGATCTGATTGAGTTTGGAAGGAGGAATTGTCTTCACTGTGCCCCTCAAAGCCAGAACCGCCTCCATCTTTTCTTTCATGTGAAATGGCCAGGAATTTCACATGCCTGGAAGAGGAGGGAGTTTGATTGACAGTAACTATTAAAGTTACTAAAAGTGGAGGATACAGTATTAACCCTTTCCTCCCTGCACACTGCATCTGCAAGAGCCAGATGGTTTTTTGTCACCATGTCACACAGCAGCTCCGGGCATGCCAGTGAGACAGGGGCTCCCTCTCTGTCATCCCTGTTTTACACCTCCCAAACACACTAAAAAAAGGAAATGAAGGCAAGCAGTTAATTCTGAAATAAAAAATGGTCCTCCAGAATATTTCCTGAAGAAGACTCACTTTCTACTTTCCACAACACTTTCAGAAGATTAGCTGACTTYGTCTGCTTATTTATTTTCAAGCACTTTTAGAAGAGAAGAGGTAAACGTGAACTGATGAGGGGAATAGCTGGATACCTGCAGTGCGATAAGACTGCTTGCCTATGTGATCTCTAAATGCAGCTCCCCTAGTCTGAGCACAGTGGAGATGGAAAAATGAGTATGGCTCTAGCTGACAGGGCTGGAGAAATGAAATTAAATAATAAAAGAAGAGTGGGAAGGGATAGAAAGAGACACTGGAAGCAATTGGAATGGATTGCAAGAGGCTGGAATATTTTTATGATTGGGGGGAGAAGCAATAAATTACTGTATGTGACAACCATAAAGTAATGGAAATATGAATTGCTAAATCTGTTGCATATCTTTTCTATATGAAGCAGCATATTACAGCCCTGTTCCATATTGGAAGAAAACCATTTCTAGTGATGAAACTAGGCAGATCTAATTGAGTTTGATGAAGTACAGTAAAAGAAATAATAGTAAAAAGGTAAAAGGATATGAACAGCATGCTGTGCATCTGATTAAAAATGATCTGTGCAAATGTATATAACCTAATATGTTGTGAATTACACCACATTCTAAGGAGTAAAGCAGACTAATCTTTCCTTAAATCCATTCCAGATGTGGAAGTGAATAGCCACAGTATTTAGAGGGAAGAATAAAGTTGATGTTTGAATAGACTTTCCTGTAGCACATAGGCTTGAGATCATTTTAGAGAAGAAAAAGAACATGTATAGACAGAAGATACCTGAGAGGAACCTAACTTGGACAATTTGAATAACCCCCTGGAGAATCTCTATTTCTGTCTTGACTGATAGAGCAAATTAGTTCTTACTCAAATGTCTATGCTATGTCTATGCTATGTCTCTGAAGTTAGGAGAGTGACCTGACATAGACACCTACACCTATTTTGGGTCCCTACAGTTGAGCAACTCMTGACATTGTCTTCACATGAAGCAATAGAATACAAGAAAGCAATTACTAGATAGCACAGGAACATAATTAGCACCACTGTGCTGTGCTCCYGCTGACTGTGGATGAAACAGTGGATGTGGATGACTGCGTGGAAATGGTGAACTTATGGTTGCAAAACCACCTACGTCAGATCTGGGCTTAAAAGGAACAAATCCAGGCGSAGGGAGGCACAGTGGCGCATGAAACCTACCAAAAAGAGCGGCAGGATGCGGAGTGCACCTGCCCATGGGGCTGCTTCCCCAGCCCTCCCTTTGGGATAGTTTGCGTGCTCAGGAAGGAACAGGATTTTCCATTTGCTTAACCCTTGCACACACATGGGAATCTCTTGGGTGCCCCCCTAGACTCCCATTTTGAATGCTGGGCCATCACAAGGGCTGACAAAATTGTTTGCCAGCTCCTGGGCAGGAATGCACTGGAGTTGCTTCAGCCGAGCTAAACCAGCAGACACTGCAGAACTAGTCCCACTTCTTTTATTACCTCCTATCTCTAAATTTCTTGTCATTGTCCAACAGATTAAAACTCGTTTTTAGCTGGATGAACTTAAAAGATCTGGGATCACTTTACTTGCAGGTTATTTCTTGTTCTTAATAAATAAAGAAGCTCTAAATTTAGTTCAGATTTATGATGTACATAAAACATTAAGTTATTGCATATGAAGTTATATAATGCTACCACCTGTAACATATTTGCTTTTTTCCGGTCTCTGTGCATTTTAAAAATCTTTGGTTCAACTCATAAAATGTTGCTAAGTTATACCTTCCACTCCTTTTGTCCCTTCTGTACCTCGCATTAGAAGAAGTCCAGAGTGCATTTGCTAAGTAAGGGACATCCTGTTCCGATACATTTATGCGTCTGCCTTTTATATATACATACACACACACACACACACACACACACACACACACACACTATAAATATAGTGATGGAGGAGCAGATTCTTTCCTTAAAAAATAGCTTTGAAGGAACACACTACTTGAAGGACCAGCGCTACTGCTGATAGAAAAAAAAAAAAAAAGCAGCAACAACAACAACAAAAATCTTTTGTTTCACTATGTAATATAAAATTCAGGGTAAAACATTGACTTCACTAGTAGCAGATGTGGCCTAAATAAGCATAAATTCATTGAAGACGGTGTAGCTGTGTCAGTTTACATCAGTTAAGATTCTGGCCTGTGGTTTTTAAGTGAAACATATGAACAAATGATTTCTTAAATTAAGACTCACCTCAGGCTAATTTGCTTTCCATCTAATTAATGCTGCTTTTATATGGCATTTATGTGCTTGCCAAATATTAAGAAAAGGAAATCTACTATAACAAAAACAAGGAAAAATGATACTGCTAAAGGGTGATTTGTGYCTGGGCTATAGCAATCCTAATCATAATTATAGTCACAAATGTTGAAATAGTCACAGAATATAGTCAAAGAAATGTTGATAAAGGGAGTTCTAGTTTATAGAGCTACACCAGTTCARTTCAGAGGTGCTTTAATCTTCCAAAACAACAGCTATCATGTTGCTATCGTGGTTGAAAATAAGGCTTAAAGAGGTAGATCTCTAGTTAGCATACAGGGTAAGTACTGTCCCGTCTGCTGTTCCATGCTGTCTGGATTTCCCATCCATTTGGCTACCTTGTGTGAAAACTCTCTTCCTAAAATCAGGCTTTTCACACATGTGCAATTTACCTCCACTTGTCAAAAAGAATAAATCTTGGCATAGTTAGAGCCTTCCTAGCATTTTGAACGTATATCATTTCATACACAGTTATATGTAGCTATATATAGGACAGATTTTTTTTTTTCCCAAGTCATAATTCATTATGTCTGTGGTGGTGAATAGGAAGCTTCCAGTGACCCAGAGGCAGGATTTACCAGAAGGAGCGTAGGAGGGGAAAGGAAGCGTGACGGCCCTTTGCCCTAGGACTTCCTTGG